GAGCCCGACGTGGGATTCGATCCCGGGTCTCCAGGATCCCGCCCTGGGCCAAAGGCAGGCGCCAAACCGCTGTGCCACCCAGGGATCCCTGTATTACATATTTCTTAATTTGCTTTATAATTTCTTATTAATGTACAATTTTGTTGCTGCTTTTCTTTTTTGGTACCATGTTAGTTTCTCAAGGTGTGAGTTATGTTTAGCATTTCTTTTTGAACTTTGTGACATGGTAGTCTTCCTTTCTGACTTCTAACTTCATCGCATTGTGGTGGGAGAAGATAACTTTGTATGATACCAGTCTTTCCAAATCTGTTGAACCTTGTTTTGTGACCTTACATGTAGTCTGTACTAGAGAATGTTCCGTGTACACTCGAGAGGAATGTGTGAGATCCTGGTGTGTGTGATAGTCCTCCTCAGGGGCCATCAGGGCTACTCTGTGGCCTGTAGAGGATTGGCTTTTGTGCATTTTGTGTGTGTGCTAAGGTAGTGTTTGTTCCTGATGTGCTAGGTGGGGCTTGGGTATATTAATCGTGAGGTTTCGTCTTTTCAGTGTGTCCATTGATACGGAGTCGCTGGAGCAGCTGGGCTCGGCGCTGAGGTTCTATTCCAGCTTGGACAGTGATCCCATGTCAGGGTAAGTAAAACTTGCAGGCTGGGTACATCTTCCTGGTCGAGGTGACAGGGGCCTCAGTGGGCTAGAGTGAGGGCTGTGGGGACCAGGTGGCCACAGAGTCATTGTAGTAGGGCTGTAGAGAAGTTGATCACCAGGTTCCTTGATCCTTTTATATATATATATTTTTTATTCATGATAGACATAGAGAGAGAGAGAGAGAGAGGCAGAGACACAGGCAGAGGGAGAAGCAGGCTCCATGCCGGGAGCCCGACGCGGGACTCAATCCCGGGACTCCAGGATCACGCCCTGGGCCAAAGGCAGGCGCTAAACCCCTGAGCCACCCCAGGAATCCCCCTCCCTTGATCCTTATATTGGAAAGTTGAGTCATCATCATTGTGCTAGGGATGGGGGGGACTGTGGCTGACAGTTGAAAGGCCAAGGGTAGAGGGTCTAGGGATGCCTGAGTGGCTTAGCAGTTGAGCCTCTGCCTTTGGCTTAGCATGTGATCCCGGGATCTGGAATCGAGTTCCGAATCAGGCTCCTTGTGGGGAGCCTGCTTCTCTCTCTGCCTGTGTCTCTATCTCTCTTTGTCTCTTATGAATAAATAAAATCTTTAAAAAAAAAGGGTAGAGGGTCCATATTGACCTAGGTGAGACAGGTGCCCAATATGGATTGGGCACAGTTGACTGATGGGGAGAGAGTGACAGTGATGGGGGTGATGGTGTTGATAGTGACAGGGCAATGATGACAGTGATGTGGCAGTGGTGATGGTGACAGGGTGATGGTGGTGACAGTGATGGGTGTTGGTGACAGTGATGGGAAATAGTGGTGACAGGCATGGGGTGACAGTGGTGATGGTGATGGTGATGGGTGATGGTGGCAGTGATGTCAGGGTGACAGTAGTGACAGTAATGTGACAATGGTTGTGATGGTGATGAGTGAAGGTGGTGATGGTGGCAGGGTGAGGGTGATGGTGATGGGGTGACAGTGGTGATGGTGATGACATGATGGTGATGCAGGTGCTTGGTGATAGAGTAGTGATGGTGTGGTAAAGATGCTGGGACAACTGATATGCCCAGTCTCTGTCACGACTTGTGCGTCATGGTTGCTGTGTCAGGGCCAGGGAACAACCCAATCTCCCAAACCTCAGTTCCCTTGGCCAAGTTCCTGCTCTGTCTTGTTGCCACCATGACGAGGTGTTATGATGCACACTTCGTATGGGCGGAGTAAGTGTTGGGAGGCCAGAGGGAGGCTGGACACAATTCAGCAGTTGCCTACTAGGGAGTGGGGGTGATGGTGGGGGTGGTCTCTGCTCTGTTGACCTTCCAGAGGTCCAGCCCTGGAGAGGATGTGGGACCAGGAGCTGGTTAGGGTGAAGGGCTCAGGGTGGGTGGTAGGAGTGTGTTGAGGACTGAACCTGAGCATTAGGAACATTTGAGAATGGCCTGGGGAGGTGGCCAGAGGGAGGGTTCAGAGCCGTGGGGAGAAAGGGGAGGATGCTTGGGTTGTGGGGTGCTGAGAAACGTGGATGCTACTGCACAGAGGCTGTGGCACCCTTGGCAGGAGGTGCCGTTTAGTGGAGCGGATTGAAGAGTGAGTAGGCAGTGTGTAGGGTGAAGCGAGTGTAGACAGCTTCAGAGAGCGATCTGGTAGGACTAGGACAGGAGGAGGAGAAGTCAGGGTGGAGAAGGGCTTCTTCGATGCTGGTGGAGACTTGAGCTGAGAAAGGGGAGGGAGGGGACATTGCAGAGCGAGGTCCCGAGGGACACGGGAGGAGTGGTGGCAGCAGAGAGGTGACTGGGGTGAACCTGGGAGCACCTGTCGCTCCCCGAGGCCTGCACAGGGCCCTGGGTCTGGTGTGTGAGTTGGCAGCTGCGTGCCCCCGCCCCTGCGTGTCCTGGGCGTGGCGGGCGTGGCTGCTCCCTGTCCTCTGGCTCTGCCCTTCGTGCCCCTGCCCTGCCTGCTGCCAGCTGGCCTGCCCTCTCCCTGCCTCACCTCTCCTCTGCTCTCCGACCAGAGACCCTGTGTCTTGCACAGCACCTGCCTTATGAAGGTTTAGGGCATGGGAAGCAGGTGGAAGGGCAGGGTCCCTAACGACACTTCTGTGAAAGCCCTCTGGTGGGCATCTGGGTGCTGCCCCCTTGGCCAGGGGCACTGTTTATCCACTGAAGTGTTGGCTTCTAGGTGGTTTCCAGCTCCTGCTCCCCAGCCCGTGGCTGGGAGCTCAGGAAAGCTTCAGTGGGGGGAAAAAAACCTCACGTCTCCCTGTGTCAGTGACTCCTTGGGTTCCCCAAGAATGAGGCATCAAGGCAGAGTACAGGGACCCAGATGAGGCCACCTCTGCTTGTCACAGCCTGGATGGGTGGTGTCTTCCCTTGACATGGTCACTGTGCTCCCCATGATGTGGCCTGGGGTTGGTCTAGGTCTTCTGCTGCCTGCTCCTCAACTTTGGCAGGTGAGCCCCATCCTGCTCTGTTGAGCAGTCAGTGTCTGTGTCCATTCTTGGCTTGTATGCTCCCTAGAGCTTCCTTAGTCCCCTGTCATGATTCTTTTGGATCCTCATTTCATTGTCCTTTCCTAGTTCCTTGCTATTCACAGGATGGTCGGGCAGGATTGGCATGTTTTTAAGCACCTGATTTGTAGGATGCATGGTCACAGGTCCAGGCTGGTTGTTGCTGACCCTGACTGCTAGGACAGTGTGGAGGGAAAGGCATGCAGATCCCTTAGGTGAGGTGAGGCCCTGGTGCACCTGTCCCGGCCCTCCCAGCAAGCATCCTTTCTGTGGCTCTCACACCTGCTGTATCATGGCCAGTCCGCTGTATTGCCAGTATCACAGTGAAATTGCTCTTGTCCCTGCTCCACAGATGGTCTTTCCCCGGCCCAAACATTGGGAGTCTTCAGCCTTCTGGGACCACCCGTTCAGCCCTGAGAACTCCCTGCCTGGGCTGATTCTGCATTTTTGAACTTGGCCTTTGGACTCTGATCCAACCTTGAGAACCCCATTCCCTCCTCTCAGGGGCATGGTTCCACTAGAACTATGACCATTGGCACTAAAGGCCCCTGCCACACTCTGCAACCACCCCTCAAATATTACCCTTCCTCAGAGGACGATGCCTGGCTATCCCACTAGGTGTTGCCCATGGGTCTTGAGTGAATTTTTCATTCATCAGATACCTATTTAACACTTACTGTATGCTGGATGCTGAAGATACAGTGATGGCCCAAAGCAGGTACGTCTGTGCCTCTGTGAATCGATAGACTGGAGACAAGGTGCATGTCAATCAAATGCTTACACAGAGTGTCCATTTATAAACTGAGGTAGACAGGAAATTTTTTTAAACTTTTATTTATTTATGATAGTCACAGAGAGAGAGAGAGAGAGAGAGAGAGAGAGAGAGAGAGAGAGAGAGATAGGCAGAGACACAGGCAGAGGGAGAAGCTGGCTCCATGCACCGGGAGCCCGACGTGGGATTCGATCCCGGGTCTCCAGGATCGCGCCCTGGGCCAAAGGCAGGCGCCAAACTGCTGCGCCACCCAGGGATCCCTAGACAGGAATTTAATTCTGTAAGAGCATTTATCAAGGAGCCCGAACTTATCTGGATGGAGGGAAGATGTCCCCAAGGAAGTGATATTTTGAGCTGAGTTCTGAAGGGTGAGGGTAAAAGGAAGAGAAGGGCAGACCAGGCAGGAGGAGCTACATATGCAAAGACTCTGAGGTCAGATACAGCATGGTGCTTTGAAAAGCTGAAAGGAAGGTGATGTGGCTAGAGCACAGAGAATGAGGTAAGGTGGGAGTTCCAGATCACACAAGTTGTTTTTTGTTTTTTTTTAAAGATTTTATTTATTTATTCATGAAAGACTCAGAGAGAGGCAGAGTCATAGGCAGAGGGAGAAGCAGGCTGCCTGCAAGGGAGCCTGATGTGGGACTCGATTCCAGGACCCCAGGATCACGACCTAAGCCAAAGGCAGGTGCTCAACCACTAAGCCACCCAGGTGCCCCCAGATCACACAGGTTTTATTTTATTTAGACTTTATTAACTCAAGATTAAAATCTTATTATAAGTATTACTATCTGGTGAGGCATATCTTAGATTTTTTTTTTGGTCTTTTATTGTCAACTATAATACATAGATACACACAGTTTATTTATTTTAGACTTTTTTTTAAATTTTTATTTATTTATGATAGTCACACACACACAGAGAGAGAGAGAGGCAGAGACACAGGCAGAGGGAGAAGCAGGCTCCATGCACCAGGAGCCCGATGTGGGATTCGATCCCGGGTCTCCAGGATTGCGCCCTGGGCCAAAGGCAGGCGCCAAACCGCTGCGCCACCCAGGGATCCCCTAGACTTTTTTTTTTTAATTTTCAAGTAATTCTACACCCAGTGGGACTTGAACTCACAACCCCTAGATCAAGAGTCACATGCTTTACCGACTGAGCCAGCCAGGTGCCCCAGATACACACAGTTTAACCAGTAAATTATAAATCAAATTCCTGCATGATCCCAAGAGCTACAGGAGCCATGGTAGGCTTTTGAGCAGGGGTGACATGATCAGACTTGGCAGGTGGGCCAAGGGCACTTGAGAAGACATCTGCATCATCCTGGTGAGGCAGGCTAGTGGCTTGAAGCATGTGCAGGTAGGAGAGGGGGGCTGAGGGGACTCATCATTCTGGGGGCCCCAGGGGCTGCTGGTGGGCCTAGATCACTGAAGTTGCCCATCAAGGAAGACAACTGGAACAGGGCTGGTGGGTTGAGCAAGAGTGTGGCTTGTGCACTCAGGGCACCTCTGATGCCAGGGCAATGTCCGGGTAGGGGGGTGGACAGCCATGGTGAGAGGCCAGGTGAGGGCAGGTGAGGCTGGGGATGCAGCTCTGGGAGGACCGCCTGACCACCTCAGGCTTCAGTCCCTGCTCCTGGCTGCCCTGGGTGCAGCTGGGCCTGCTGTGTCTTTAAGGGCTCTGTATTGCTCTTCCTCCCACTGACGTCAGGGCTAGGGGAGGACCAAGATTTGCTTTCTGTTTCCTGGAAAGGGGAGGAGATTGAGACTGAGTGGCCCATGATGGAAAGAGGGGAAGTCCAGGGGTGCTGGAGCCCTGGGAGTGAAGGCGGAGGCTAACATGGGGTGAGCTTGGGCGCCATACTGTGTGTGGTATGCGTGGGAGTGTATGTTCCTCTCCATTCCTTGGGGCAGGAGAGGGTTTAGGAGGAACTTGTGAGTCAAGGCCAGGTGAGGGGCCGCACATTCTGTTTTGTGAATGTGGTTGTGTATTTTGGAGTCCCTGCTGTGAAAGGTCTGTTCTTAGCCAGTCCCCTCCCTGGGCTGTGTGGGGCCCTGCGGAGGTGGTGCTGCCCCCTGGACTGTGGGGGAAGCCCCTGCACCCAGGGTGGACGGGGCCACAGCCCTTCCGGGGCCTTCAGGAGAGGCACACGCCCTATAGCTCACCAAGCTCTGTCCACGTTTTGTCTTTTAATGTATTTTATTTTATTTTTTTTAAGGAGGCTCCGTGCCCAGTGTGGGTGGAGCTTGAACTCACGACCCAGAGATCAAGCGCGTTCTACCAACTGAGCCAGCCAGGTGCCCCTCCTTGCATGTTTTAATGTACTAGGTGCAGTCACCAAGCATCTGCCTTTTCTTAGAATAGAGCTGGGTCTCTGGTAACAGAGGAGGAGAGCAAGGGACTCTGTCTGCCCTTGAAAGTCAGTTTTGGTGAACTTCCTGGCCAGGGTCTGTTCTCTCTCTCTCTCTCTCTCTCTCTCTCTCAAGATTTTATTTATTCACGAGAGACAGAGAGATTGGCAGAGACACAGGCAGAGGGAGAAGCAGGCTCCATGCAGGGAGCCCGATGTGAGACTTGATCCCGGGACTCCAGGATCACGACCTGAGTCAAAGGCAGACACTCAACTACTGAGCCACCCAGGCGTCCTAAGGGTCTGTTCTTTCTCCAAGCCCCTCCACTCTGCTGTGGTCCTTGCTGAGGGCGGGCATCAGATGGGCAGACCTCTTCCAGAAGGAGCACCAGCTCCAGCACCCTTGTATCATCCACAGCTCTTTGTTGACCCACTGGCCATACTAGTCAGAGCGCGGGAGCCCAGGGATGTACGTGAACCCCTGGCACAGTGCTTGGCACCCAGCAGGCTCACGGTCACTGCCAGGGAGCCAAGGGGTCAGCAGCCCCTCTCTGGGGCTAGTGCTGAGGCTGTGTTCCCTGCGAGCCTCTCCCCACTGTTCTGGCCACACTGGCCTCTGCTCTCCTGCAGTTTCTCCCCACCTTTGTCCCTTGTGCTTCCAGCATCATTTTACCTCAACATCTGTCTCGTACACTGAACTGTGGGCTCCCAGAGGCCATGAGCTGGTCTGTCTTGCCCCTAGGGACTGAGGACCATCTGCTGAGTGGGTGGAAGTGGACAAGATGTGTGTCTGGTGGGGAGGCACTAGAACTCCCTGCCATGCTCCTAGCCGGGGGGATAAGAGGGGCAGGCCCTGGCTGAGGTGCTTTAGCCAGGCTCATAGAACAACCCCATTATATGATGAGGACACAGTCTGAAAGAGGTCCAAGCTGCACAGCCTTGAAGTTGCTCTGTGCTGCCCAGATTCTCCTTTGGCAGGAGGGGTGCCCCTGCGAATGGTGGGGTGTTCGTCCTGGGCAGGAGTGAGAGGTCATGACTGGCTCTTTGGCAGGTTTGGGACAACTGTAGCCATTGGCCTGACCATCTTTGTGCTTGCTGTGGTCACCCTCATCATCTGCTTCACGTGTTCCTGCTGCTGTCTCTACAAGATGTGCCGCCGGCCACCACGTCGTAAGTATGCCCACCCCCTCCCTGCCCCACTGTGACCCCAGGTGCAAGGGGAGCCGACCAGGACCCTGGCTTGGCTGAGTGGGAGTGAGGGGCGGTCTTGACTGGGATTCTCTTTGCAGCGGTGGTAACCACCACCACGGCTACCACCGTGGTACACACCCCTTACCCTCAGCCTCCAAGTGTGCCACCCGGCTACCCTGGACCGACGTACCAGGGCTACCACCCCATGCCCCCGCAGCCAGGGATGCCGGCAGCACCCTACCCGACACAGTACCCACCACCCTACCCTGCCCAGCCAATGGGCCCCCCGGCTTACCACGAAACATTGGCCGGTAAGTACCACTGCCAACTCTGACCCTGCCTGACCCCCCAGGTCTACTACCACTGTCCCCTCACATTGCAGCCCTCCATGTCCATAACCAGTGTCCTCTCTGTTTTCAGGAGGTGCCGCCATGCCCTACCCTGCCAGCCAGCCTCCTTACAACCCGGCCTACATGGACCCCCCGAAGGCAGCCCCCTGAGCATGTCTCTGTGCCTCTGGCTGCCACTTGATTGTGTGCGTGTGTGTGTGTGTGAGAGAGAGAGAATGGGTATGTATATGTGGGTGCAGTCTTTTCTCCCCGTGCCTGGTGTTTGTCCTGTCTGTACACGAGACTTCTTATGCCAGCATGGTTGGGAGACATCCTTGCTGGAGTTGCTGGGACCCTACTTTGTTCTCTTCCTCACTTGAAATTGTGCTCGTTTGAAATCTCAAAACTTAAAAACTGGGGTGGGAGTTCTTTTTCATATCACCCCAGGGAGGTCAAGCAGGTGGGGCTCCTTATGCTAGGGTAGTATGGCCTTTTGTGGGCAACACGCACACGTGTTCCAGTTTTCGTGGAGGCTAGCCACTGCTCAAGGCCATGGCCTGTCCCCAGGGTGGGGTACTCTTCAAAGAACCAGAGCCATCATGGCATGGGGGTGAGGCTTGGGGACATGGCTAGGTTGGGTTTTAATCTTTTCGGCGACATCCCATAGCCCCCAGAGCCTGTGCCATGCCCAGCAGAGGGCAGGCAGCCTCCTGAAACCAACTCACCCAAACGCTGCCTGCACTGTTCCTGGCACCACCTGGAGGGCCACGGTCACCCACAGTTCTGGCTGCCGTGACCTGCATCACGGTCTGCGGGGTAGCCTCGGTCCACTTGCATACTCAGGTGTCCTCCTTGCAGTGTTTTTGTTTTCCTTCTAGCCGACCATTTTGCCTGTTTTCCTGCTCAAAATGTATGTGATAGTTTTTGTGAAGCTGAAACCCCTGGGTCCTGGAGGGAAATTGGCCCACAGTGGAGAGGGACTGTCTGACCTCTGATAGTCCCTGCTTCTCCTGACACCAGCTTCACAGAATAGCCAGCTCCTGTACCCCAGCCCAGAGTCCTGTCCTGTACCCCAGGACAAGCTGGGCCAAGGGGCTGTCTGGACCAAAGGTGAAAGGGGCCCTAGGTGGCTGCTCTGGCCCAGGCATGAGTACCTCGGTGTTCCCTGTCCCTCTGTTAATATCTCACCAGCTCTGTCTTAGCTTTGTACCTGTTGACGTGTTTCTGAGAGTCTAGGGTCTGCACCTTTGTTTATAATAAATGCAAACATTTGGGGCCACTGCCTCCTTTCTTCAGAGCCTTGGCTTCTGAGACTGGGCATTAATTAGGCCAGGTATCATCCTCATCCGACTCTTGGATTTCCATGTTTTCCCATCTTTCCTGGGCTCAGACATCTGACCATCCTGCTGGGGAGGGTGAAGGACAAAGACTGCCATTCTCTATGGCCCCCTCCCCAGGCCACTGAGTGTGGGCAGAGGTGCAGAAGGCTCCAAGGCTGCTAAGGAGGGTAGAGGTGAGTGGCCACTCAATGCTGTGTGTGTGTGTAGGGGGTCTTTATTAGTTAGACTTTCCTTCTTGAACTATTGCCCAGGTGTGGCCAGGGAGAGCCCATACAGTGTGGCTATTGCCAAGGTGAGGAAGGCCAGCAGGCCCAGTGGGGCCAGCAATCCCTCCCTGGGTGAGGCTTCAGGGCCCTCGAGGGGAGGAAGGGTCTTGGGCTTCCTGCCCCTGCCAATGTTAGGACTAGTGTCCCTGGCTCTAGCCAGGGGTATAGTGGCTGTGGTGGCAGATGGTGTTGGGTTGGTTCCAGCAGAGGCTGTGACCCCATACATGGGCTTGACAGTGCTGAAAGGCCTGGCATTAGCATCAACCCACTGTAGCAGGGCCTGTGGCCTCCACTGACAGATGCTGAGCAGGGCTAGGACGTCACCCTCGGCTATGTGGGAGTCTGGTGGGGCCTGCCCATACAAGCGTGTGTAGATGCTACCAAGGCTGTAGCTCTTCCTTGGGCCATGCTCCGAGGGGCTGGCAGCTTGCTCCAGGGCCTTCAAGGCAGCAATGCTATCCACACAGAAGGCACCATCCAGAATGCTGGCAAGGCCTAGGACAGCCAGCTCTGCCTGGAGCAAGGGGAAGTCATATCGGTCACCGTTGTGTGCCACAAGGCACCAGGGCTGTGGCTGGCGCCGTAGGAAGGCTTGGAGCAGGTTGGCCAGGTCGACATCGAAGCGTTGACGCCCATGTGCTGCCAGTACAGCTGTGCTCAGGCCTGTGATCTTACTGGCTTCTGGGCTGCAGGCCTTCCCTGGAGCCACGCACAGAGAGAGCTTGTCTACCACCCGGGGTGGTGGGGGCACTGTGGGACGTTGCCCCTGAGGGGTGGGGGAGCTCTCCAGGGCACATCTGTGTACAGCCAGCAAGCACAGCTCCGTGACCTTGGGCTGAGAGGAAGGCAGGCCAGTGGCCTCCAGGTCCAAGAAGATGAGGGTCTGCACGGGACCCTGGGCTGGTGCCTGCGAGCCCATGGTCGGTGCCTGCCGCTGAGCCTAGGGAGGAGCATGGGGTGGGAAGTGGATGTATGAGTGCTCCAGTGGAAAGAGCTAAAGCGGGTGGGGGGTGGGGCAGGGCCAGAAGGAGCACATCTCTGGCTTTCTCTGCAAATGCAGGCACTGTGGGTGAGCTCCAGGACCCAGTTACAAGGCAGGAAGCCAGAGAGGGTGGAGTGGCTTCCTTAGGGGGGAGCATACTCAGCTATCTGGGGGAGGCTTGGCTCCTAGCCTAGCACCCACCTAGTCTGGGCCTGGGTGGGGGGTGGGGCCTTCCCACCCTGCCCCATCCCCATGGGGGGTCCTCACTTACCAAGTAGTAGTCAGGCAGCAGTGATTCAGGGTGCAGTCTGGCTGGTTCTTGCTGGCAGCAGTGGCGGGAAGTGAAACAGAGTGTGAGCCGCCTATAGGCTGTCCTTAGTGAGGCCCGCCCTGCTGTCAGCAGGCCAGGTCTGTCCCTCCCCAGCATTACCTCCTCGTGACTCTGCAAAGGCCTCAGACCTACCACTGTGGGGCTGTGGGCCCCGCTGGCTAGCACAATGCATCAGAGCCCTCATACCATGGGAGGCAGCTGGCAGGATAAGGGCAATGGTGCCCAGCCCTTGGGGAAGGCTAGCACCAGGACCCTAGCCTGCCAGGCACCCCTGCTGTGGGCACCTTGCACCCACCCCTTGGCCCCACTTGCTCAGGTCTCCCTGGTGTAGGCCCGGGCTGATGGCTGCCTCCTCCCTCCTCCCTCGTCACACAATGGTTTCTTCCCATGGCCTCAGCCCCAAAGCTATGACTCATGATAATTCCACAGGCAGGGCAGGGTTCCTAACTCTGGGCAGATTCATTACCATGGGGACAGGGTCTCAATTCCAGCCAGGGACAGGAAGAAGGATCCCAGCCTTCCCTGGGTCTGGCTCCTGCTCCATCCCTCCCACTCAGCCGCCACAGATCAGACTCAGGAAACATCACAAGGCTAGTGTGTTCTCAAACAGCCCTTCACTGTTTTTAATCAGTTGATGTGGTGAGGGAAGTAGTGGTTCTGGTGCCACCATGTGGCTCAATGCTCACTGGCCTCAGCTACAGTCCATCTCGGGGTCATCGGTATCGGTTTCAGCAGCACAGAGGTCATCCAGGGCTGCCTCTGAGCAAAGAGAAGAGGGGTTTATGGTGAAGGCCTGGAGGTTTGGGCACAGGTGGGGGGGAAGACCCACCGACCACTCCTCCCCCACACCCAAGGGAACTAACCAGTCCCTTCCATGCCCAGGCCTTGATCCCTCAGCTACTGCAAGCAGAGTGATAAAAAGGCAATTCAGACAGGGATGTTTCTGGAAAAACCGTGGCTCTGCCAGGCCAACTCAACAGATACAAGCAAAAGGCAGCCTGATATGCTCAGAGAGGAGTCTGGGCAGTAAGGCCAATATGACCCCCGTGCCAGCAAAGGCTGCTTGGAGGGAAGACTGCTGACTTACGGCCAAGAAGTCTGACCTGTCCATGAACTTCAGAGAAACCTCGCATGTGGGTTGGGCAGGGGGTGGGAGTTCCTCCTGCCGGCTCACCTTCACAGTCGGCCACATCAGGGAGCCCTCGAATCAGCATGCTGACCCCTGGCATCACCTGGTCATACTGATGCAGGACCTCCACGCAGTGCACAGTGAAGAGCTTGTCCTTCTGGGACAGGCCGTGCAGCAGCAACACTGTGTCCCGCAGACACCGCACTGTCCGCCTCTGGCAGTCTGTCCTTGGGGACCCCCCTGCCCTCCGCACTGTCAGCCACTGTCTGTGCAGCATCACCGTGAGTGCTCTGACCACCTATGGAAGAGTGAAGGCCGAGGCCGCGTCTCAGGGCTCCTGCACCTTCACAACCTGCTCAGCTGGACAGCACCCTTCCTGGCCACTCCAGGTGAGGAGGGTTCTGACTGAATGATGGCAGAGGGTTAGAAGGAGCAGAGGGTCCTTGCATAGGGTCATCTCACCCCCCAACAGAGCTGCCACGCTGTTGGCCTCTGGGGCACTCACCTCCACGTTGCACTGGCAGTTAGAGCCAGTGACTGGGGAGGAGGGGCTCTGCACGCCAAGCTTAGCCAGGAGCCACACGGCCTAGAACAAGAACAGACTGTTCCATCTGTGGCAGAATGAGACCCTGATCACAGTGAGGGCTTTCTAAGGCTTCTCCTACAAGTGCTCCAGTTGCCTTAGCAACTGCCTGTCTGTACAGCAGGATCCAAGAAATGGTGTTGTGGGGCCTTCCCAGGCTAGACTATAGGCTAATACATGTGTCTCGCCAGTGACCCACCTGCCTCTGGGCCCCAAAGCCAGGGTAGGACCCATTATCAGTCAAATCTGCCAAATTTCAGGACATTCTTGGGTCCACCTTTATGGCTTCTGTGCCCTTCTGTGGAGCCCTCAAACTGAGTTTGCTTTGTTACCAAAATGAATTAAGCCCCGATCTCCCCAGGAGTAGGAACAGTGGCCCTTAGGTGGAGTGGGATGGTAAGCAGTTCGCAGAGGGGGCTCAGGAATTTACCTCTTGTTCTAGTTGAAGCCACTGTGTCTCGGAGGCCACTTTGTCAGGCCTTGATGTGATGTACATGTACAGCAGCAGGAGGAGACAGCCTTCTGAAAAGGATGCCCCACCTCTCACTCAGGGTCTCCCTTCTTACCCGGAGCCCAGGGCACAAACTACAGAAGCCCTGAAGAGGCCTCTGACCTGCCCCTGCCACCACCCTTGCTTCCAACCTGCAGGAGCAGCCCAGCCGCCCACCCCTGCCCTGCTTTACCTGAGTGGGAGCAGAGTTGAGGGGCCAGCTTCTCATGGTCCACCAGGAGGGAGAGGAGCTCAACAGTCAGCAGCACACTGGGCAGGGGGCTCTTGGGGCTGAGGCACTGTGGCAGCACCCGGAACACACACTGGAACCTATAGCACAGGGGCCCATAGGGACAGGACACTGATAATCCAATCCCACAACTCACCCACTTTTCACTGGAGGCAACAGGAAGTTTTGAGCAGGTAGTACAAGGAGCTGTGGTTCAGACCTGGGTTCAAATGCTGGCCGACCACTACCACCTACTTGCTAGTACATCTGCTTCCTGTGAATGAGTGGGTACTGGCCTCCACTGCAGTATTGCTGTGGTTTAGGACAGGCCCTTACCAGGCACAGTGCCACCTGTAAACAGGGGATGCCTCCCTGGACCTGGGGTGCCTTGCTTCCATATTGCTTGTGGGTGCTTTCCACCTCTGCTCCCAAACAGGGAGGCAGATCTTTTTTTTTTTTTTTTTTTAAATCTTTTTTTTTAATTTTTTATTTATTTATCTATGATAGTCACAGAGAGAGAGAGAGAGACAGAGACAGAGACACAGGCAGAGGGAGAAGCAGGCTCCATGCACCGGGAGCCCGACATGGGATTCGATCCCGGGTCTCCAGGATCGCGCCCTGGGCCAAAGGCAGGCGCCAAACCGCTGCGCCACCCAGGGATCCCTAGGGAGGCAGATCTTAACTTGGGTGTGAGAGAATGTTATGATCCCACTATCTGAGGACTGGTCAGGCTCCAGAAGTGACAAATGCAGACTTGGCTAGGGTGGGATCTTATGAGACCACTTGCTGAGCAGAGCATTTTCGAAAACATCAGTTCCTCTGTCACCAAGTATGAGCAGGTACCTACTTGGAGAGTGCATGGGTGAGGAGTTCTGGGCACAGTCTCCCCCAGGTTTCACAGGCACAGAAAACAAAGGAACTAAGTCCCAAGACAACTACTGCTATTTGCTTAACCTACACAACCCCATGGGTGGGGAGAGGGGCAATTCTACATGTCTCCCTGCAAGCATCTGCAGTACCTCAGTACACACCATCGAGGGTTGAGAATATTCCTCAGTATGCCATTATGAAACAACTTCTTACTATTTGGAGTGAAATCATTGTAGAGCAAATCCCATACAGTGGATAAGCTGCATGATTTCAGTTGCAGGAAGTGTGAACTTTGTGGGACACTGGGGTTTAACCTGGTGGTTACTCAATTTCACCATGAAGTTAGAAGTGGTCTCTAGTCCACGTGTAAAGTCCCTGAAACTATCTGCAAGAAAAATCCATCTTTATGTATGACAGAGTGGTTTCCAAATTATTTTTTGATAGCATCAGAACCTTCTTTAAAATTTTTTTTCCAGAACCCCCAAACACACAATGTAGTCCTACTGTTCTGTCTGAAGCTGGGGATAAGACCTCTCTGCTCAAAAGCCACTGCCATCCTAGTACCTAGGGATGACCCTGGACCTATGTCTACACCAGATGTGGTATGAAAACATGGGTCTAAGGGGATAATTTGTCCTCAAGCCTGGGTGGGCAGAGGTGCCCTTTATGAGACTACAGTCTGCCTGGCTACTTGTGTCTCACTGCACATTGCTTTGGAGCCTTGGTGGCACATGTCCTTAGCTTTCATTCCAAGGTGAACAGGAAGCTGTGTGGTAGTGGGGTTCAGCCTGCAAGGATGTAGGGATTCTGAAGAGAAGCACCAAGTGGGAGGTGGTGTCAGACAATGATAGGGGCAAGTCAAGGAGCCTGGCTTGAAACTCACCCAGCATGCTCTCTATTCATATTCATATAACAAATACTGAGTGCTTATAGTGAGCCAGGCTCCATGCTAGGTGTGAGGATGCAGGGCTTGGAGGCTGTCACATGAGCTAGTGAACAGAAAGTCTCTGTCTGGCCTAGTAAGCATCCACTAAATAGCTGTTTTTCCATGTCCTCATGAACAAGCTCAACAGGAATGGAATGACGGTATATCTACTAAGAGGAGTGGTAAAAAGTGGTTCTTGGGATTCATTCAACACCAATGAAACAAGCAACCAGCCACTATGAGCTAGGTCTGTGCCAGAAACATAGGTGATGGTTCTGAACCTATGGAGCTGCCTACACTACACTAAGGTACTGTGTTCAGCTCTGAGGACTACCTTTAGGATGGACTGGACCAACTAGAATATCCTCAAATGGAAACCAGGATCCAGAAGTGTTTTTAGGCAACAAGTGTGCTAAGCTCAGAGACTAAAACCTTAAGTGCAGCCAGTAGAGATTCCAAATAGGAACTGGCCTCTTGGTGGCATGCTGACAGGGAGACAGGATTACTGAATGAGGGGATGGGCTAGATGGTGTTTACAGTTCCTCCCAGTCTTAAGGCTCTGGAATCCCAAGTTAGGAATTTATGACAATAGTGTTCACAAGCGAGGTTCACTATACAACCACTTCTAACAAACCTGAAGAGGAGCAGGTAACCTATGGCTCATGTCAGAGTAGGGCACAATGATGATGGGCAGATTCCCAACAAAGTCAGCTTATGGGCTGCAGACCTACCCCACACCCTCTGCTTCCTTGGGGAACTTCACCAAACTTAAATGTGGTGTGATACACAGTCTTCATGGCTCAGGTTCAGGACTCTTGGTTCAGCCTTTGTCCTGCAGACAGGACATGTTTCCATAGTGGCTAAAACCCTTCTTTCATCACATGT